AACTCATTATCAACAGAAACTTACTCAATGGATGGACATCAACATTGGAATCCTTGACTCAGACTAGATGATATATGCAACCTTTGAAAACCATTTTTCTATCTTTAAGGTATGAAATAAAATTATCTTAGACACTACTGCACTCCATTTCCCATTCCATGACAAGCTCAGATGGAAATTGAATCTTTACAATTCTAATTTGATAGTCAACTATAGCATTACATGCATATAACTATTCCATACCCATAATGACATCAAAATCAATCATCTCCAACTCAACCAAATTGATCTTGGTACCTCTATGACATCTAGAGACTATGCAATTTCTGTAGACTTGTCTAGCTTTGACAAACTCACCGACAAGAGTAGAAATAGTAAAGGGTTCATTAAGTTGTTCGAGACTCATTCTGGAAATCTCAGCAACATCAATCAATGATTAATATGCATAATATTCCACTTACGAGATGAATAGTAGAAACCTAAAATCTTGAATTATAACTCAAAGTCAATAGCCAAGAATCAAAGTTATGATTTCTCTCAGAATTCAAGAATAAATCAAATGACTTCTTTTCTTTAAGTATCAAACCAGAAAATAAGAAAAAAAATGTAATCGAAAACCTAGGAAAAGTATGTACAGTCATTAAAAACCTATCCTAAACAAACTATGAAAACACTCTTCAACAACTTCCAAGGACACAGTCTATGGATCGTAGATGGTTTCACGAGTCGTGGACTCCTCTCGCAGAAATAAGAAAAATCTTCAAGGGTGGGACTTTTTTCATAGACAAGATCTATTATTTGTGGAAGCTTCTATGGATCGTGGTCCTCACTCGTAGATCAAGTCTCTTTTGCGCACCTATTGTATCTTACCTATGTTCACCATTTACGGTTTGTGAACATGTTTGCAACTCATGAGTTCCACTTGTAAATCTCAGGACTTTTTTGCATACTTTATGATTCTCATCTATAATCTCTATCTACGACTCGTGAAAGTGTTTACGAATCTTAACTTCCACTCATGAGAATCATATTTTTTTAATAGTCTCCGATCTCATCTATGAGGTCATCTACAACGTGAAATGTCTTCGTGAATTCCAAAAATTGACTAACATCATCTTATTTTTCGTACAAAGCTTTTGAATCCAATTTTCGTGCAAAATATCTACAAACCACATCAAATCTACTAATAACACAAAAGAATATACACCAATTCTAAGCTTTAAGCATCAAAAGTGTCGTAAAATCACGATACATCACTTCTATATCAAAATCTCTCATCCAAGTACCTGAGTTCATTCCAATTGATTTCCAATCATTCTAAAGGCCAAATGAATTAATTTTTAATCTCAAAAGGACATGTAAAACTACATAAATATGAAACAAATTTGGGAGGTGTTACAAAAAGTTGGGGTTGAGACTTTAATTTTTTTATTATTTAATCACGTCCGTATATTATTTTGATTTTTATATTTGGGTGGATGGTTGGCTTCCCTATCGGTGGATTAGGATGTGCGTGATCAAGACCTTTGGGATTTTGGGTCATACAAAAGTTATTTTTCCTTGTAACCGAAAATATTTCCTTGGAAACTATGATTAAGAATCTAAAACTAAAGATATTTTTTTTTTCAAGAAAACATCGCCCTTTATACTAAACTCGTGAGAGGAATAAACGACAAAAGTATACATTGTCTTGAATTAAGAAAGGAAAAAAGCAATTATTAGGTCAAATAAAAATTATAAGTAGGAAATATAAATATATCTCAGTCCTTGAGTAATACATATATTCTAGTTTTTACCCCTATAAAGTTCTGACTTAACATCATTAGCCTTCAATTAAATAAATGTGCAATTGTAATCTCTCAAACTAACAAAAGTTAAAATGTCAAGAAAAAAAAAAAAAAAAAGAGAAAAAATAAGATATCTTCCAATTATAAATGCTCAAAGAGTTATTTATCTCAAAGTTCTTTCAAATTTCAACATAAAAATGACAAGTCATTTACCAATGTCCATTGTTATCTTTCTACTTCGAAGTCTTGAGTTAATGTTTTCAATTCTTTTTGTAACTGTAATATTTTCAATTCTTTTGGTTGAACTAATTCCTCTTGTCAGTTCTTAAATCTTTACATAATTAATAGAAATTTAAAACTAAATATGGATAAAAAAAGAGATAAGAATACAACAAATCTACTAACTGTTGATGATCATTAATCATGACATCTTTAATTGATAATCAGTAAAAAGCTCCTCCTAGTAAAAGCCCTTAACTAAACTGAAGCATAGATGTTGGTCCAAATTTTAATAGAGCAAGAAGACAAGGTGTAAAAATATATGACTCCGTTAAATATTCAACTTTCATTGGTATGAGGACCAAAACCTAATGATTATATTAATTAAAGATAAATTATGTAAAAATGAATTATAAAAGAACTAAAAGTGGACTAAACCTATAATATAAGGACTAAACCACTATTTAAACATACTCACTGACCATTGTAATTACTAGATAACACCCCCAAAAGAGTTAAATGTGTCTCCAATAAATTCAAGCTTCTATATAGAATATTAGTTTTTTTTTGTATCTCCTCTTCTCAAATTGCTGAAGGAATAGAAATTCAATGGCAACTGGTTATTATGGTATTATAGATGAAGTTCGGGTGGTGCTAGTTGATCCCGAAACAGAGAATGTCACTGAAATGGTGGATTTGCTGAAGTCTTATGACTACAAAGGTGACATCTCTACAAATATCTATTCAACTCAAAACTTTTGATTCTTTGATATAAATAAATTCGATTTGATTACCTTTTCAAAAGAGATTTAATTGATATTATGGTTGTTGTGATTGTAACATCAATTTCTTTTTAGATTTTAGTTATTGTCTAGTAAATCTTGAATTCATCTTTTCTTTATGTCATCACACCATTTCTATATTTGTTTTATTAATTAATAAATGTTTTTATGTGTTTATAGAAGAACAAAATTAGACTGTTTAGTCTTTGTTCTTGTTATAAGCATGTTAAACACTCGATAACCTTCCTCCATAAAAATTTATATGATTTTTCAAAGGAGGGGGGGGGGGGGGGGGGTGTTTAAATTTGTTAGTTATTTGTTGTGTCTCGATAATCTTATGTTAATATTTGTCTAGCTCCAATTTCAGTAGATGTTCTAGAAGTGCCACAATTTTATTTTAAGTTTAATTATTTAATCTTTATATATGTTTTTTACACTTGATTTTTTTTTGTAGAATAAGGGGAAATTTGTTCTTTTATAATTGATCGTCTGGCATAAAATCGGAGGAGAAGATTAATTAAATTCATCAAAAATATTTTTTGAAAATGTAGATATTTGAATTATATAAATCTATCTATCACTTTAAATTATATTATTTTTGTGGAGGAGGCGAAACAAAATTAGAGTGACAAAGAGGGAAGATAAAGAGCAAGATAATAAGGGTTGGAGTGGATTTTAAATGGGACGGGCTAATGGGTATTAAATTGTGTGATTTTCCATGGTGAATATTGATGTGAATTAGTCACGTGACAATTTTTTGTTTTTCACGTGGCGCGCTTGGTGGCATTAGTTAAAGTTAGGGGTATTTGTGAGCCAACAAAAAAGAAAAACAAACAAAGGGGTATTTTTAGCCAAAACACAAACGAATAATATTTTTGTTCCATTTCAGATAGTTAAGAGGTACTTTTGACCTTTTTCATTTTTAATTAAAAGTTTTCCTTTTAATTTAAAGGAATGTTTTTTGTTCCTTCTAAGAAAGTTCTTCAATATACCCCTATTATTTTATGCTTTTGATAGCGCGCCAATCTTAAATTTTAAACTTTTTTTATTTCCCCCCTTAATTTCAAAGGAATAAATTTGAATCTACTTTACTGAATACTAGTAAAATATTATGTATAATGATCAATCAATTTATTCCTCTATTTAAATTTGTTTAGACAATGGGAAATTTTCATAATATTTTTTAAATAAACATATAAATGTTACAAAATAAGTTTCAAACTTGAAAGATAGTGATGATAGCACCATTATTTTTCTTTTCCTACTCTACACAGATAGATTCAATAATTTATCAAAAATAATATTGTAAAGAGTTTTTTTTAGGTAAACTTGTCTAAGATTGAGATGTATTACAATATAAGTTGATTAATATGTGCAACTGCATAACCTAAAGAGTGCAATATAACTTGAAAATTATGATGGAATTTGTATATGAGAAATGAACAAATTTTCATGGTATTTAATATATATATATATATATATATATATAATTTTCTTTTCTGACTCTTAAGATGCATTGATGCAGTTATTACAGTTCGTACATCTTCAGAAGCAATGGAAATGCTCTCCAAAGGAGAGAAAAAAAGTGATGTGATTATAATCAGTGTTCATTCACCGAGTTTGGATTCTTTTAAGCTCTTGGCTCAAGCTGTGACCTTGGATATAATTTCACTATGTAAGTATTTATTCTATTCTTCCACTTATGACACTTACTGTGAGAAAAGTCAGTTACGTTTATAAATACACTACAAAAACCAACTACAAAATATGAAATTAAATTTTTTAGAGCTAAAGAATTGGTACAATTCACCGTTAAATATGAGTAGCAATGAATATTTTGTTGTTTAGTGACATTAGTTATTTGTTGTTAATGCCTATTTTATTTAGAAAATGATAAGTTATTATTTTGTAACACAACTTTTATAGTGAATATGCTTGAAATTAGCTATTCATATAGTGTTTAATACAATTAAATTCTAATTGTCAACTTCTTGAAATAATTATGCAGTTGTATGCGATGAATACAATGAACTCTTAGCAAAAAAGGCTTTGAAAGAAGGAGCATATCTTTTTCTACAAAGGCCACTAAATGAGGAAATTGTGAAATACTTGTGGCAATTTGTATTGAGGAGAAAAAATAGAAAGAGAGAAAGCGAAAAAAGGATCAGAAGATGGAGACAAGATGATTGTTAAGGATGTTGATACACATAATATGGATGGAGATAATGAAGAATTATCTAAAGAAACAAATGATGTGCCTAATACTGAGGAACATAGAAATAATATTCATGAAGTTGAAGACAATATCGTATCGAATGAAAAATACAAGCGGAGGAGGAAGAACAATAGAAAAGATATAAAAAAGGATAAGGTTATTAAGCAAAAGGACTGTGTAAAGTGGACTGCGGATCTTCATGCAAAATTCATGAAAAGTTTGGAACAATTAGGTGAGGGAAGTAAGTTTACTTTTCAATTAATTAAATTTCTTCTCAATTTATTTATACATAGAGATATGAACAATGAAAATTCATACTTACAACTAACATCATCTTGTTTGAAGTAAAGGTGTAGTGATTGTTGTATTTACATTACCATGTATTGATTTAGAAAAAATATAGCTATTAAACTAAAATTATGGTCTTATGAAACATGTAGAATGTTACCCAAAGGATATGGTGGAGGTTATGGATGTGCCTGGTCTTACCAGGATGCAGGTAGCGAGTCATTTACAGGTACGTACATCCTTAAAAAAATTAAGTGGTTAATCATGTACCTTTTGTGTGTGTTTGTCAAGTGAAAAGGTACTTGGCAAAACAAAATATTTTTATAGTTATTTTCTCATTTTTGGTTAGTAAAAAATATTTTGTTTGTAAAGATTTATATCAAACTTTTGTGTGAGAAGTTATTTATTCTACAACTATATTAATAATAATTCTATAGTATAAAAAAATTAAAATAATTAGTTTTATACTTATCCCAATAGTAACTATTCAAACACTATTATTAATCTTAAGAACTGAGTTTTTTATTATCAAAATACTCACCAATTAAATAAGATTAGTGATAGACCTTAATTACTTTTTTAGTGATAATATTAATCATTCATTTCTAATTTAATTATATTTTTAGTGACTCTTCAATGAAGGAATGATAGTATCAATCTTTAATTCGTTACTATAAAAGACTTTTATCGCTCACAAATTACAAAATGCCAAAAATATTTCTCATTAAAATGACTTTCGTCATTATGACAATTGAATATATTCATGGTCTAACTCTCCTTTCATTTTCTTCTTCTTCTAACATCACTCAGAAATGCCGTTTCAACAATTGGAGATCTCCAGAAGAGCGCAAAAGTAGTCGTCGTACATCAGGCCAAGAATCTTTAAGTGAATCTCAACAAAAAAGTAGCAATAGAAAATATGGGACAATGCCCTATCTTCAAAATAATATTCCTAATCAAATCCAAAGAGGGCTAGAGTTTCCATTTTCAACTCCCAATACCAGCAACACTTTTGCTAGAGGGGAGAGTTCAATTCAAGAGAAACTCTATCCTCCACAATTTCAGGTTCAACCCCACTACCCCAGCATTGACAATTCATTAAATAACCCATTTTTTACTGTGCAAAATAATGTTGGCGGTGTGCTTCAACAACATCAGCATAGACCATTATTGGAAATGTTTGGTTCACTAAGACTACAGGACCCAATTGTAGGAAACATTACTCATAGGCCTGGCTCGGCATTTAACACGTGGAATCATCATACTCAAAGTGAGTACAACTTGGACCTCAATGTAGTTCATAAAAAAACACATTTAGGTAGTAAAATAATGCCTGATATAGGTATTGGAAATAGGATGATTAATGACTATAACTTGAATGTGAATGCAGGAAATACAAACACATATTCAGGTAGCACAACGATGTCTGATGCTGAAAATGTGACTAGTGACGAAGTTGAAACAATAAATGCTAATTTTCAGCAACATATTGCTGAACCAAATATGTCTTATCCAAGCAATATAATCGCGACAAATAAGAGTGATATAGAAGGAAGTGATGCAAATGAGAGGGAAGATTGTGATGCATATTATAATTTCAATCATATGGGTTATTTCTTTCAAAATATTGGACCTCCAGGTGCTAACCTACCCAATTCATATGACAGTGAGTTTGATCAAGTTTATTCTGATGATTAGGTTAGTGCTTCAATCTAGTTTGATATTATATATATTTTTTGTTTGATTGTTGGTATTAGCTAAAATCAATATAAATTTAAAGCAATTTTTTAGATTTGATATCCATATAGAATGTGGGATTAAATTCCAATTTATTGGTGTTTCATTGGGATTTCAATCTCTTATATATTTTTTTGAGTTAAATGACTCCTTGGCAAACTGAATATGTTTTGAAGAAATTTTTTCAATACTATGAAGTTAAGATTTGTGAAACAAATCAACTTTGGCCTAAAAGTGAAGAAATCATTTTCTACTTTTTTTTGAAAACATTTTCCTTAAAAATTATATTTTGATCATTTAACACCGAATTATTTTTTAAGAAATAGTTTTTTGTCAAATATGTAATATCTTACAGTTTACCTTAAATCTATCTATGCAGGTGGTAGCGATTCCGAGTATTATGTTTTCAAGAACAACAAATTATTTTGATGATTTGTCAATATGATGATCCAATGTTATCGAGACTATAAGTGGCAACTCTCATAAGGGCTCTTTGCTATTACAAATTGTTTTTTTGAGTGAAAATTGCATTTTTTTTGTGGAGACTATTTTGTTTCAAATGACTTGGGTTGTTGCAACTAATGGTATTTTATTTTTGTCTTTCCATTTGAAACTAATGATCATTATTACATTACATGCTTTCGTTATTTTCTTATTTGGGATTATAATTTTGTTTAGTATCAAATTCACTTATTATGGCATTCCATAACCTTTTGGTTGATTAATTAAATGTTATATGTGAGATCAATTATTCATGGGATTAATCTCATCTCAATTTAGCCTCTAGATATTGATGATGTGATTAGTGAGGAGGCTTATGACTTTTTGGCCGAGTCCAGGACAGATTGTTCAACGTAGGCATTTTGGTAGCACATGATAAGTCTTACAACTCATATTAGTTTGCGGGAGTGGCTAAGGAGTGGTGTAGATCGTTTCTTTCTCATAGGCCCATTGGTTCTCCTATGATGGGTTGGGAGCAATATACTGGGGTGTTCCTTGAGAATTTTGTGCCAAATAGCCTTCGTGATCAGTTTCTGAGTATGAGGCTCGTTTCCATGAGTTGTCCCCTTATGCCATGTCGAGTATTCCCTTTTAGAATAATTGGGTTTGAGAAGATGGGTCGGGGTTTTTTTTGGGTGGATCCGGATTTGGGTTGGGTTAATTTAGTTTTACGTAATTAATTTTTACAACGAATCAGATAGTGCCATGTATTAAATGAAAATGCTAATTAAATGGACTATTTATTATGTTTGTGAAAAGGGTATTATATGGCCACAAAGGTTAACCCCAAGGGCATTTTGTGGTCAAAAGGTAAACGAAGGGTATATTTGTACCAATTCCAATACTTTAAGGGTATTTTAGACCCTTCTCCGTATAAAGTAATTCAAGCATTAGAATCATTTTTGAAAGGAACCCATGACTTTGGAATCAAGCCCTAGCCTTTTGGGGATTTCTATCTTTGAAATTGGAATTTTGAAGAGGCTCCATGGATGAAGAGCTACCATACCTTAGCAACAAAGCCCTATGAATTTGATGTGAAAACCCTAGATTCTTCAACCCTAGCACCAACTTCCTTTTTCTTCTTCTTTGAGTTTTCTAGAGAGAGAATTTTTGGAGAGGATGAAGTTTGGAAATTGATTTGGGTTTTAGAAATAATGAGATGAATGACTTAATTTAGTGGTCTAAAATCATTATATAGGTGGTCTAAATTAGGCGAAAACGACTTCACTTAATATTAATTAAAAAAAGGAAAGTTCCATTAAGTCCCCAACTTAAACACTTCACTGCCCATTTTGTCCCAATCACGAAACCACGCTGACGGGCCGTGGGTGGACCCACGGTCCGTGCTGGTCAACCATGGTTTGGGTTTTGCAGGTTGGCATCAAGGGCTTGGACCTACGGCCCCCACCCATGGGGCGTGGGTCCTGCCGTGGTTCACTGTTTTTTGGCAGTTTCCAAGGTCCTCCTCAAGGACCCATGGTTGGTCCTTGAGGGGGGAAGGGCGGGTAGTACCTTGACGTTCTAACACGAAACCCTTTATTTTTTAAGTACGGGGAGTTACATTCATGACTCTAACCCTCACGTTGAGCTCTAGTTTAACCTACAAATTTCTGAGGTGTTACAATATCTCCCCCTTGGGAGCATTCATCCTTGAATGATGATCTAGACACTTTACGGAAGTAAAGACTCAAGATCTATTGGAGCTTGGGGAGGAGCTCCTTGTTCCACGTTGTCACCCTCCATCCTTCTAGCATTAGCCCTTCTAGTATTCATATCCTGAAGAACATAGGGCAAGGATTAAGAGCGAGATATTATCGAGTTAAACTGTATGACACGACTTAGAGTAATCAAGAAGTGAAGTTTTCTAATAATCTTGTAGCCTCTCATTCATAAATGTGGCGCACTTGACATTTATGAACAAGACTCTACTAGACGTGGATTATAAGACATCATCCTAGGATCATTTTAAACCTTGTACTCTAATTACCAAGTTTGTCACGACCCAGGGGTACTCCCTAGATGTAACATGGCGTATAGAACCCCGAATGACTCCATACAAGCCACTTAGTCCTCATAACATAAGCAATAGAAAAATACGAGTAAAAACACATTTCAAGTCTAAAATTTTCATAAACGAAAGCGGAAGTCTAGACTTGTCTCAATATAGCCATCTATTACAATTTTGAATGAAATAGGGCCTAGCCCAAACAACATGTCCAAAAAGCGAAATACAATAAAGGAAACTACATCATGAGAAAAAGTCATCCTCGTACCATGAGGACTCACCAACAAGCTTGGAAGATAGAAAAGTCCAAGCACTAGCCACTAAAATGATCACCTCGAGAACCAAACCCTACACTTGGGGAAAATGTAGGGAAAGTAGGCGTTGGTACAAAAATGCACTAAGTATGATAGCCATGCATAAAAAACATTGAAAACATGCTAAAAGGGACATTTCATTTGAATGCATGCAATTTACTAAGTTTGAACATCATCATGGAAATAGTGGAAAAGCATAAGTCATAAACATAGTCAATACATAGCTCATCATAACATAAGAGCAGCACTTTATAAATACCGTTAACGCAAACTTGTGCAATGCATGAATAAGACCCCATAAAACTCACCCATGCTAAGTAAACCTCTTTAGTCCAATATTCATATTCACCTTTAAGACCTTGAAAACTCATATAAAAGCTTCTTGAGTAACCATAGTTCATAATTCATATTCTTGTTCTTGTTATATGGGAATAAGCCTTAACCGACATGAGACCATGTGAGCTATACATGGACCCTCGGTGTTACCCACACCGAAAAGGGTTGTCCTACTTTCCTAAGGTAGAACCATACTCTTAGCTTAGGTGGATCCACTAGCTAAATAACCTATGGGGGCACATAGTTTATGGGATAAGGATATTGCTACTAGAAATCCGGACTCAACTAGGTAAAAGGTCTCCATCTCATGAGACATACTTTGGGAACCCGGACTCAACTAGTGTAGAAGGTCCCATTGGGAAGCCGGACTCAACTAGTGTAAAATCTTCCAACTCATATTCAATATCCACTCGATGCTAAGCATTACTTCCCACGGAATACATATTAAGTCATAACTTGATTCATTAAGATAGCTCATTAGATCATGCGTGAGAATAACCTTTCACCGTCCATGTCTACATATCGATTCAATATGTGAGAAAGCCTTTCAACCTTTGAATCTTCATATTGTGAGAAAACCTTTCACATCATATCATATTCATGCATAAGTGTGTACATGAGAATAACCTTTCAACAACACAACAACTAGATCAGAATCATAAACACTTCACTCTCAAAGTGTTCTTAAAACATATACAAAGACTTCATAAACATGTATAATATCATAATTTTCCCAATCTGTCCGGGTGCCATTCCATTTACCCTTCGCGGTCGCGACATATGGCTCACGCGATCGCGATGAGCAGTGTTGCTGGGTCACGCGATCATGACCCCTGACCACACAATTGCGAGATTCAAATATGGGTGCAATGCGATCACGACCTCTTCATCACGCAGTCCCAAAGAGTAATTTCCTGCCAGTTTTACTTTCTTCCAATTTGACCTCTTTTTTGCTCCAATTCCATTTGGTTTTCTTCAAAGGTTTTCTAAATCTATTCCTCATTTCATTTTCTTGCAAATATGAAGTAAAAAACATTAAAAGCATTTATTCTATACCAAAGCAAGCCAATATAACTAAGAAAAGAGCCTCAAATGAGTGGAAATTCACCACTCATCAACACCCCTAACTTAGAAACTTTGCTTGTCCTCAAGTAAAGAAAAATAAAAAACTCAAGAGACTCTTATTTTAGCACACACCACACATAAATTTCACCATATTCACTTAAGCACAAAGGTAATGACTTCGGTTGGTACTAACAAGTAGTCCACATGCAAAATTTTCGCAAACTAAATCCCCTAATTCTAATGGCACGTTTTAAAGAATTTAGAATCAATTGAATGACAACTCAAACTCAAGAAGGGACTCAAATCATTAGCTCTTTGTTATGCTCACTCGAATCATCTTGGCGATATCAAAATCACCACTTTACGAACTTACATGCCCTCACAAAGAGTGAAATGTCCCAACACACTCACAAAGTATTTATAAGACAAGGGACAAAAATGCAAGCACTCACACTCACAACAAAACATCTCATGAACACAAATGTCACACCGCAGGCTTGCCCATATTTTCAATCAATATTGACTCAACTTCATTCGTTTTGAGATCTCAAAGGACTTTGTTAAGCTTGTAATTTAGGCTTGGGGAAAGTTAAGATATCATTTGGGTATAAGTGACTACAACCTTCTTGAACACTACACAACAACTTTTCCACTTTTTCTTCAAGTTTCAACTCAATGCACATTTCACATTATTTTCTTATTTTTCTTCAAGATGCCCCACATGCAATCATTTTCAAATT